GGTGAATAATCTTACGCCTTTATGAGGTTCTTGAAGTGGAATTGATGGATCAAAGGTACATGCCCTTGAAATCTTGACACAGGTCCAAACTGTGCTGTATAGAAAGTAGAGGTTATATTCCCACCAACAGTGCTGTGTTTATGAGTGCCAGGACAGTGTTAAACTGGGCATGAAGGAAGAAGAAGAGAACTAAAAACTAAGGCTAATTGTGAACAAGTTTAACAGGTAGTAATGGGATAGGAGAGACTATGATTATGGGAGGTGCGTGGTAGTTTCACTTAGAAAAGAACCCTAAAAAAGAACTTTGATGATTGGCAAAGCAGGATTAATAAAGTAAGCAGAGATTACAACACAGAACAGCCTCACAAATTGCAGCTTCAAAAATGTCATCTAGATTTCATGATGTATAACAACCTAAGAGTGGAACAATGTCAGCCCATGGGAGAAGAACAGACCCGTAAGAGAGGAGCTGGACCAGTGCTGGCAATTAAAAAAAAAAGCAGGAACCTGAATGGAAATGCCGGCCTGAGGATAGATATATATACCAGAAAACACAACCTGTGGTGAGACAGAACAAAGGCAGAGGGCCCAGTCACGTTAGGATTTACCACACGGTTACACTGAGCAAGGGGGAGGAAAATGGATGCATTGCTGATACCCATTGCTGATGCACTGATGGAAAGAGAGAAGAGGCAGTAATGGAGCGAGTGGAACACCAACTGGTCAGATAACTCCTCTAAAAATCTCCAGTTGAATACTGAAATGTTTGAAAGTTTGCTTGTATAGTTTTCTCACTTGCTTTTAGACTACTTAGAGGATAGAAAACGAAATTGGGAAAAACACCATTGTGGCTCCACTTGTGAAGCCAAGGAAGGAAGCTAGTTTATGAAATAGAAGTGGTAGGTGTTTTGAGAGTAAGTGGCCATTCCAATTTGTAGTTCATGAAATCGAGTAAGGGGGGAAACTAGGCGTAGAGAGATGTGTACTTTGAAAGCTTAGAAATAAAAGGGCTGGAGAGCTGTCGAAGAGAAGACAGCTCAATAATATTGAACTTCTGAGAAATAATGTAGCTATGATTGTGTCCTCTCACAAGTAATGGCGTAGTACCTTGAGGAAACTAAATTCTAAAGGGACTTGTACAAAAGACAGAAAGGACATTTACTATAAACAAACAAAAGTGCAGCTGCATAACCAATATTGGAAAGGGAAAACCCCCAAACAAAGCACAATGCTGAGAACAATAGAAAGCCTTTTATTTTTTCCAAAAAAATAGTATGTTCATAATAAGATCAAAGAAAAAATGGACTTGATTATTAAATATGCCTGACACATGAAGGAACTTGACAGCAGTTCAAAAACTGCATACTGTATGTGAGTTTTAAGAAATCAGAAAAATCAAATGAGTTTGTAGACATATGGAAACAAACCATTTACTTCTTGATTTTCAAAATAGCAAAAAACGTTACATGGGTTCTCTAAAACTTGGTGTATTGCGTTTGAAATGAACCTTCTGATGGTTTGCAGGAAATAGAAAACAAGGTCACGATCCATGTCCACTGGGAGTTCATCCTGTCCACTGACTCATTGGTTTGGTTACAATGTATCTTAAGGCAGTACACAGGTAGAATACTTCAAGGAGGTGTTACAAAAGCACTGCTTGAGATAGTCTCATGAATGAGATGGGGAAATACAGGCAGAATACTAAAACAGGCCTATGGACACCTGGATAAGTTTAGGGTCGCGTCTAAGTGTGGTGTGTGCCATCTATGCTACCTTACATGGGTGTCTACGTTTGAATATAGTGATGGGGGAGTTGGCATGTGTAGCATGGACATGTTGTGAAGAGGGATATGTCTGTCTGTGTGACTCTGTTGTCACTTCTGTGTGGATGAAGAGGTGTTCTGGACCCTGAACCTCCAGCGTTGACATGCAAGACACCCATTTAGTGTGACACAAAAGAGTTGTCAAGGGTTTGTTCAAACCGTACATAGGACAGGCCTTGGGAAGAATACTCTGTCTTTGGTTCCCTTGCAGAGAGTAGCTGTCCATGGAGAGTGACTGTCCCCTCCTCTGCCAGCTGCCTTTCCTCCTTCCTCCTTTTCTCCTTTTCAGGGAGTTCTGCACCTGCCAGCTGACTGACCTTGAATGCTTTTCTCTCCTTTCTCTCCCTTCCCACAGTCGGTTCTCAATGTGATCAGTGAGCTGCAGGAACAGATGTGTAGGCTGCAGCTGGACATCCACAAGCAGATTCAAGAGCGCCTGGTGCTCAGTAGGGACCACCCTGATGAGGTGGTGGACAGTGACAGTGCAGCTGAGCCCCAGCTCTGCAGCCAGGACTGTGCCCCTTGGGAGGGGTCACCTGTAGGAACCACACTTAAGTATATCAGAGCATGCGTGTGTGGGGGAAGCTCACTGGCGGAGGGCTGGGACTTCTAACTGGAACAGAGTGCAGTGGCTTAGCATGGATCTGGTATCACCTTGGGGGCAGAGCTGGGATTCACTGGATGCTCTCGGGATGTGGGCTGAGTTCTGGGACCTTCACTTCACAGGATATAAGCAGGTGAGCCATGTGGTGGCACTCATCCCTTAGGGCCAGGAGTGAGATGTGTCAGGTGCTCCCAGCAATGGGGCATCTGTACACAGGGAGGTCTCAGGATTTGCTTGCTAGGCATATGATCCAGACACGATTCCTCCTCCTGGGCTGGGGGATTAGGTGAAGCTTCAGTCCATGTGATTTTTTTTTTTTTTAAAGAAAATAGTATCATGAAAAAAATACTCTTTTTTAAATTTATGTTTAAAGAAGTTTACCGCAGTAAGAAAAGAGGGCACAAGTTTTCATTTGCTGTCAACAGTTAAGTCATCCTCAGAATTTCCCCCACATAAATCCTCCACATAATCACATTAGGATGATTTCACGACCTCCGGGCCACGCGCCAACGCTGTCACAAGAGCCTGGAGAGCACAGTCTGTATCCTCATCATGGTAACCGCTTAGGCTGCAGTAACCTGTACTTTCCCATTTCTGCTGTCAGTGGGCCTGGTGCCATATCAGGACAAACTGAGCAGCCCGGCTAAAGCAGAGCAGAACAGAACTCCCAACTGCTACATGTTAGAGCCCTTCAGGCAGGGCCCACCATGTTCCTAGAAAGTGATTCTCAGTCTGCTACACATAAAAACAGGTGACCAAGGCCTTGAAGTGCAGTGTTGCACGTCATATACACAATGACCTCAACTTTGAAGATTTATTTTTTAAACAGACATCAACAAATGCACACTTCCGATAGAAGGCAGTCTTAATAAATTACTGTAAAAAATCCCAGTATTGGCAATGTCACTTTAAGATGGATTGGCTCAGAATGTAAAGAATTGCAGGCTAGTTAAATAATGACTTGAATTTGAGGTCGTCATTCATCCATAATAATATATGCCTACTATGCGCCAGCAACTGCTGAATGATCAGAGAGGCTGGCAGGGCAAATTAAGGGGATTACGACATAATAAGAAAATGAGCCGTTAGCAATTATGCAAATAAGTATTGGATTGCAGACTATGAAGGAGACACACAGGGTGCAACAAGAGAGTGAAGCAGAGGGACCTGGTACCCTGTGGAAGTTAGGATAGCTTTGCTCAGGGAGACCTAAATGATGGGTAGGAGTTCACTTGGCAGTTTCAGAAGAGGGCGTAATGTTTGGAAAGGCTGAAGAGAAACTAAAAACTATCCCATGTGACTAGAGCCTAACTGGGGCGAAAGAGTAGCTCAGGAGGCAGGTAGGGAGCTGGAATAAGTCAGACTGACCCAGTCATGTTTCAAGTTTATGAGCTTTGAGGAGAACACCATGAACAGATCTGTGTTTTAATCCTGTTGTTTGCCTGATGTTGTCAAGGTCAGTGTATTCAGGAGGGGCAAACACAGTTCAGTGAAGAGACTGTCAGGCTACCAGCTCCCATTGCTAAGGGTGCCTGTGAAGCAGCCGCATGAGATGGTGAGAGATTTGCTGTTCAGAAAGCCTATGGGAATAATGACCTTCGTGCCAATTCTGCTAGGAATCAGGCAGCAGGACCAAGTTTCCATTAAAGGACATTTTTATTCACGATGACAGGGAGGGCTTCGTGATAGTTTCTTAGTGGGTACTTTAAGAAGCAAAGGTCCTAGAGTCAGAAGATATGGGCTAGAATTCCAGCTCTGCCCCTCCCTAGCTGTACAAACACAAGCAAGTTGTTTAAGCATCCCTTCCCTACTCAGCAACCTTCACTGCCTCCTTCCTGTTCAAAAAACAGACTCAGAACTTTGTATACTCTCATCTAAAATGCTCCATTTTAACTTTCCAGCTCTCTCTCCCACTATGCGCCAACACCCTCTTCTGTTCTAGCCCAACAGGTTGTCTCCTTTCTGCCCCTTAGCTTCACTCTCACCTGCATGCTTCTGCCGCCCTTCTTTCTTTCACCCGACCCTCTCCACTGGGATGCCTATGCTGGTGTCTAGCATTTCTTCCTGAGTGTTTCCTGTCTGTCCTGCTGGCTGTCACTTCTTCTGTGAAACCTTCCAAAATAACCAGCCCCCTCTTCTGGGGTCCCTACACCTTCAGCATGGAGAGAAGCTCTTCGCTCCTCATTAGCCTGCTCCCCACTGCCTTGTCTGCATCTAAAGGGAAGAAGCTGCCTCTTTTCAGCATCTCTGTTCCTCCCACTCCTTCCCCTTCCCTGTGGGAATGAAACAGGCAAACCCACCGAGGACACAGATGGCAGAGAAAGGGGAAGGCAGAACAGGTTAGCAAAATAAAAGGAGGATTTTCTCTTTCATATGCCTGGAACTTCTATTGTTTTTAAATGACCACACAGCTATTCATGGAACACAGACCATGTTCTCAGATCAGAGCTGCTGTTTGGAGCCTGCTGTGGCTGTTGTTGCCCTTGGCATTTCTGCATGAGTTTACCCAGGTGTGGAGACCCAGGGCAAGTTCTTTAATCATCACTGCTTTGTTTTCTCCTTCTTGCCTCTAGGAGTTACTGCAAGAGCTTAGGCACCTCAAGATCAAAGTGGAAGAGTTAGAAAATGAGCGGAATCAGTACGAGTGGAAGCTGAAGGCCACTAAGGTAAAAGGTGGTCGGGATGCTCACAGAAGGCATGTGGAGGTTCTGTGAGTGAGAACGTGAGTGAGCCAGTGAGCACGCCCATGACAGCGCATGAGTGGTGACCTACAGCAGGTGAACAGCAGCGTCCCACTGGGAGATATTTTATAGTTAGAAATGAGTGCCTTCCTAAAATGATGCATACTTTGATTTTTTTCAGTCAAAAGGTATTTCTATTAAACTCAGGAGCTCGCTTTGTAAAGGATGCCAACAGTGAAGTCTTGTGAAATAAATTTCTTCCTTCCCTGTATTTCTTCCTAGTTGAAATGCAAATAATAAAACTGGTGGAATGAATTCAGCTCATGAATATTGTTTTTGCCCTACATATTGTATGTTAAATTAGCTGCCATTTAAACATTGGGAAATTCCATATGAAAATACAGCTAGGCTACTTTTAGTTTTCAAAGGAATCTGTTGTCTACAATGATCTATTTCAAAATGACTAGGACAGAACAAAAGCTCCTAACACATAGAAATGATTAAAATCTCTTCTCGGCCTTTTGACTAAGATCAAGTATAGAAATGATTAAAGTTTGAGAGATGAAAGTGCTTATTACCCTGATTTGATCATTATACATTGTATACATGTGCGGGATTACCATACTTAAGCAGTACCTTCTAAAGATGTACAAAGATTATATTTCATATATAATTCATACAAATTATATATATATGCTGGCTGTCACGTCTTCTGTGAAGCCTTCCAAAGTAACCAGCCCCCTCTTCTGGCGTCCGTACACCTTCAGCATGGAGAGACGCTCCACTTCTCCTTAACCTGCTCCCCACTGCCTTGTCCGCATCTAAAGGGAAGAAGCCGCCTCTTTTCAGCATCTCTGTTCCTCCCACTCCTTCCCCTTCCCTGTGGGAATGAAACAGGCAAACCCACCGAGGACACAGATGGCAGAGAAAGGGGTGGGCAGGTATAGTTTAATATACACAGAGATATAGAAAATTTGGGGTCAGGGAGAGAGAGGGAAGCTCTCAGTAAGGTAGAAGCCCATTCCCAGCTTGCTGAGGACACACACCTGCCTCTCCTCGAGGTTCTGCTGCGACCTCCACCGTGCTCCCACATGGTCACTGTATGCAGTTTAATTTTGGTTTCTTACTATTTTTTTGCTAGGATGTTCTTAAATTATAGTTTGTAATTTTTGTCTACAGGTTAATTATAAATTATTATGAAAGCAACCTCCTTACAGGGAATTTCCAAACCATAAAAAACTCAATGAAACGAAAGCACTCAGACCACCCAGGAGTTGCCATTGTTAATATTTTCTTCTGGGTACCTCTTTTCTTTATCTTTTCTTTTCTCTCTCTCTCTCTCTCTCTCTCTCTCTCTCTCTCTCTCTCTCTCTCTGGGTCTTAATTTCTGGTATTAATAATTTATATACAACTTTCATGTTTATTTTTCATTTAGGAATATGTTATTAAAAGAAAATTAATATATAATGGAAACAAAGTTTTCATAGGGAGGGAAGGAGGGCAGGCAGGGGAGTGGGGAAAAATAAGAACCAAGATTGATTATGTAAAGAAACAAATTTTCAACAATGAATGTCATTATATTGTATACATTAATTGTACTAATAAAATCAATTTAAAAAGGAAGAGAAAAAGAAAAGAGAATGCTGAACATATGTTCATGCCTAAATAATATTGTAATGTAGAAGTATAAAATAGTCTGTTAACTACTCTACAGATGGTGAAACTGAGGCACAGAGAGATGCAGTAACTCCTAGACTGCACAGCCTGTCAGGACGAACCTGAGCAAAGGGTCACCTGTTCCCTGGCCTGCAGTTACCTGGGGCAGCCTTGTATGTGCTGTGCTTCAGTCATCTGTGCTAGGAACATTTTTTTTTTCCTATAGCTCAAAACTTTCCCCTTTGCTGTTCCACTCCAGTGAGTGTTGTCTGATGAAACCTTTGAAGTTGTATACACCACCCTCAGTTATAAAACCAAGCAATTTTTAAAATTACCCAAGCTTTTTGCCTTGACATGTAGATGCTAAGGGTTATTTAATAATTACCAGGTGTGGAGTACCTCCTGCTTCCCTGAGGTCCTGAGCCCTTTATACACTTTTCTCATTTAATTCATAAAATAATCCGATGTGGTGTGTTTTATTTTTTGATTTTCTGGTAAGGAAGGAGGGACTCGGAGTACCCAAGGGAGGTTCAGATCTGGGTCTTTTGCATCAGCCTGATTCCCCATAGGGAAATTCTGCCCTTTGGTAAAAGTTCTCCAGTTTTCTGCTTTAGCCTTCTCAGTCCCTAAAAAGTTTTCCTCTTTGAGTAGAGCAGCCATAGAATATGGTCCCTGGATTTAATGCACTTGCAGGTCCAGAGCCCCTGTCACCATCTGTGTCTTCTCTCTGTCTGCCTTCCTGCCTGCCTGTCTGTTTGCCTGTTTGCCTGCTTGCCTGCCTGCCTATCTCTAACCTTTTGCAACATAGCTCTAGTTTCCACGGGGAAGGCAGCAGTGGCAGGAGTATAGATGGCTGATAGTCAGGGAGAGGGCTTCTGGGCTCTCGTTGGCCTCCCTACCTGTGGGGACAGGTACCACTCTGAGAATAACTGAATTCCTGTCACTTGTGAACATGGGATCTAAGGAGGTTGGGCTGAGTCACTTGGTCTGTAAGGTCCACAGTACATACACAGATGACCTCACCCAGGTGTAGGCCTCAGGTAGTAGAGACCTCAGAGTGCCAAGTGCAGGGCTCTGCCTCCATAGGCCCACCTCACTGAAGTCCTTGCCAGCTCACCAAATAGGTCTGATTTTTTTTTTTTTTTTTTTTTTT